TGAACGGAATGGGGTGAAGACAGTTAAGGACTTGTTGGACAATAATTATCAGTTTTTGTCATTCAATGATATTAAGACTAAATGTGAGAAAATGATTTTTTTACAATATTTTGCAGTAATAGACCACATTCCAAGAGAAAACTTAAACATAATACGACAACAACCATTGATCAACAATCAATCAGAAAACAGTAATCTTTTAAGAAGACTTCTTCAAGCAAAAGATCTTAGATATATTTATAAAGCGATTGTTGCTAACTATAAACATTATTTAGTTGAAAGGCAGGAAAAATGGAATAGAAAGTTAAATACAAATTTAAATGATGATATAGGTTGGGAGAAAATTTATTTAACAAGCTTTCTGGTGACAATTGACACAAAACTTCAAAACCTACAATTTAAGATTCTTCATAGAATATTAACAACAAACAGTTTTCTTTACCAAATTAATGTTAAGGATGAGGATCTATGTACTTTTTGTAGAGATGCACCAGAATCAATTGAACACTTATTTTTTAACTGTGTGAAAATAAATAATATATGGAATGATTTAATAGCTTGGGTGAATGACTTGAATAACAATATTATCATTATTGATCATATGAATATCAAGGATGTGTAATTTATTTGTGAAAAGGGTGCACCTATCATAAACTATCTCATACTGATTATTAAATATTATATCTATACATGTCGATTCAAAAATATTGAACCGTCTCTCAATGGTGGAAAAAGACGCATTATTCAACAACAACAGATTGAAAAAAAGATGTCTTCTTTGAATAACACAATGAACAAGTTTAACCAAAAGTGGTCTCCCCTTAATATCTAAGAAAAAAGCTTTTAATATCAATTGCATATCCGGGTAAACTTACAACCCGTAAAGAATTAATTAAGGCATGAAGGAAGATTTTTGGTATTTAAGTAAATAACAGGCGTACATGTATGTATTATATCTGTCTTGTGTATGTGTTATGTTGATAAGTATGTTTATTGGTTTATGTGTATGTGTAGATGGTAAATATATAATTATTTATTGTAATAGAAAGGATGGATGTATCCATATATTAATGTCTTAATATAAAGAATGTTTGCAATATCTATATGCTATCAGGCATGCGAAGATGTGTGTGTATGGGTACGAGTGTATGTGTGTACAATTATGAGTGGTATATATGTATGACTCAAGTAATATATTTGTCATTTCGAGTGTGTGTATGATGTATTTATGAATACATAATTTATAGTTAAATTTCACATAATTGTACACTGTTTATGTTTTTGTGTTTATGTATATAGGTCTAAATTGCTAGGTACATTAGTATTTGTACTCTTTTTTTTATTTCCCCAGACATTCCTTCTTAAACTAATCCAAATGAAAAACATGAAAAACAACATCATTCAAAGTACATGAATTCGGTTTTATCTTGTTTAAATTTTAGGACAATATGGCAATCCCAAATCAATAAAGCAGAATTTTTGGCATGTAAATGAATTTATAAATATAAAAATACGTTCAATATTTGAATATATAAAGAAGGAATGGTTGATGTAATTTAATATATCAATTTAATCAAAACAAATAGTATCGTTATTGTAATGAATGAAATATACGTATGAAAGAATGAATGATTTTGAATTTGAGTATGAAAGAATGAATGAAAAAGAAAGAGAGGATGAAGAGAAAGAGGACTTTTGCATGAGGCTATATTATGTAAGAGGTATGATTCCGGGGCACCCCAACCCTGGCATCCCTCCCAAAGATGCTGGGGGAATAAAACAATTTGAACCTAAAAAAAAAATTAAAAAAAAATAACACTGGGATAGATTTTTTTTTAAATTTGCAATAATTAAAAAGAGATAGCTTTGCACCTAACAACAAACACTTAAAATAGCAACTGTCCTCCGCACCAAATTAGATTGAATACGATGTAGACACACACCATACCTGTGTGATACATCATGTTGTCACTCCTCACCACAACTGGATTAACTGTGCGACGCAAACACACGAACGCATATCAACCTTCGCTTTCAAATTATTCTTAATACGATAAAAAAGCGAATCAACTTGCAGGCAATGCAAATAAAATGCCTTAGTTCAATACATTGTTTATTTATATCATTGAATTTAATTTATGTGGTTTTAAAGAGTTCGAAATATCATACTCAAAGGGTGAGCAACACAACTAGATGGGCATTTTATTATTATTATTATTATTATTATCAAAAATAGGTGTATTTGCTTGCTGTTTATTAGCAACAGACAGATTGAATATATAACAAAGACATACTTTTGTCATATATAAATCAAAAACAAATTCAAGGAAACAAAGTTGTTGGGACCCATTTCCCAGGGGAGAAATCGTTGCAAGTATTCTAAGGGATACATATTAGCACCCATTTAGTCACATTTTGCTTATGATGATTTATCTAATAAAATAAAACGTTCTTGTTGTTGCTCATACAGCCTATATTATATCCCGAATTTCCAATCTCTATGCTACAACACGGCGGACATATTTATCGTTCAAACCTCTAGATCGAGAAATTATAATCCGTGTAATTTAATTTTCTTATTTTGGGTAGAAATCGCAAATATTGAGGCCCGCGAAAATTACCCATTATATCCAAAACAAAAAATGCATGGAAGGTTACTGCAAGTAAGAAACACGTAAGTGTTTTTGTGGGACATTGGCCCACTTGTATAAAACATCTCAAAGTTAAGGAAAACCTCAAGCAATGTATTGTCTATGGGAAAACGTAGACTTGAGAAAATCTCAAGAGTTGAGATGTTTTATACAAGTGGGCCCTTGATCCTCAATATGACATTTTCTTAAATTATAAAGCACACCAATGCAATATAATCATAATGGTTCTTTTTAAACATCATAGACAAAGTCAATGTAAACTTACGTTCTTTTGAAGATTATCATAGCTCTCTGCATTATCTGTGCGTTCCGATCTAAGGATAGGACCAAAAGCTGCGACTGTCGATGTAGTTCTGCATACGCGGCAGTTGGTAAATGTCAAATCAATCAAACAAATGACAAAAAGATATATTTAATTGACTGCATGAAAACATATATAATACCTAAAAATTAGGAAAAATACAAAAATATTCCCAAAATAAACTTACATATTAGCAAATAGTATTCAAACATCAAACACAAGAAATATTTAATGATACAAGTCATGTGATAAGAAAAGAAAATCGCAAAAGCAAAAACTACGTAAGATGGTCCATTAAATCAAATAATCAATGAATGAACGGAAATCAGATGCAAGGATGTTGTAATTAGAAATGTATATGTGATTACGTATTCAGATTGATCTTCGAGTATCGTTCACATCAATAATCACTTGTTCTCCATGATTGATTCAATTTTATATATAGATAAACAAAACACTAGTCATACTCGAACTGTGCATCATCGTTCGGCAACATTGAAGCATTCGTTTTCCTTTTCTATATATCAGATTCTATAAGGACGCCTTAATCACCAACAATATAAGGCAGCTAAGCAATTAGCTTAATTCATGCTCATAACACCATAACAAGTTTAAATTTGTTATCTAACTGCTTTAATTGTAAGGGTTATTATAAGTTAGCAACATTAATATTACAATATCATGGAACAAGACACCTTAATGGCTTCTGAAATTATTGGAGGTTATTGATTTGCTGCTGATGACGTAAATCGGGATGCTGGCCCCTAATTGGTCAAGGTGACCTGAGGGTCGCGTCCCTTTATTCATAAGGCAGCCATCTTGCGAATCGTTATCATCAGATCTAACTTGATATTTAAAAACTTAATTATTACGACCGAGTCATTCGAATTTTCTCTTCCTGCTTCGAACGAATACGGGCAAGCTTTCATTAGTGACGCTTGGGTACCCTATTGTTTCCTGTGAGGTAACGACAGCCGTGGCCGTGACTTTTAAAGTGCCCTTGAACCTGGGTGTGACCCTGGAGTCAACATCACTCTGAGACCTGAAACTTAAGTATTTTATCATTTCTTTTAGCATGGCTTTTATACAATTACGAGTTTTGGTGTTAGGTCATAGTTTTAAAATATTGTCATATTGTTGTGCTTCAGATTGGAGGTAACAGTTGTTGTGATAACAGAATATCCCCACGGGAGTTGGCTGCTAACATCTTCAGTTATGCGTTACATTTACGAGTCCACTACGGGGTTTCTGTTTATATATGTGAACTATTCACTAGACCCATCTTTACATTATATACTGCGAGCCGGCTGCCCCAACCCTGTTAATCAATGCTCTGACCAGTCGGCAAGTGTTGTCTCACTTTAACACAAACTAGCAACAACCTGCCAGGTTAAAAGGTATACATGTTACAATCAAAAAATAACTGCCAGGTTACAAATTATACATGTTAAAATAAAAAATAAAATAAAAAATAACTAAAAACCTTAGCTAGTGGAGTTGCCACCAAAATTGCAAACGCCATCTTAGCTAGCCTTATTGATGGTTACATCACAAAAAATGTCAATTTTGTATTGACCACAAAAACTGAGGGTCGGAAGTAGATGGGTTTTAAATATCAAGTTAGATCTGATGATAACGATTCGCAAGATGGCTGCCTTATGAACAAAGGGACGCGACCCTCAGGTCACCTTGACCAATTAGGGGCCAGCATCCATATTTACGTCATCAGCAGCCAATCAATAACCTCCAATAATTTCAGAAACCATTAAGGTGTCTTGTTCCATGATATTGTAATATTAATGTTGCTAACTTATAATAACCCTTACAATTAAAGCAGTTAGATAACAAATTTAAACTTGTTATGGTGTTATGAGCATAAATTAAGCTAATTGCTTAGCTGCCTTTTATGCCTCTCCACCCATTACAAGAATAACTCAAACAACAAATGTGAGTGAAATGGCCTACCAAAGGGTGACATTATATTTATTATACTGATTAAGCCACCATGTGGCTTCCATCAGAAACTTAAGATTATACAAAGTGGTTGCAAATATACCAAACATGGTAGCAACTACAATCAAAATATAACTAAAAACCTGAGCTAGCCTAAGTGGGGTTGCCAAAAAACGCCACAAAGACATAACAGGAGTTAACAAAAGACAGCAATTTTAGAACTTTCGATATCAGAGATAAGATACGAAATATGTAAGCATGTATTTAAATTTCGAGAGGTTGATTCAGAAAGACAACGAAAGGCACCAAACGACCATTGTTATAAAAACAGAGGTAGCATTGCAGCAACAGAAACCGAAAGGTCAAACACATCAAGGAAAGCACAATAAAAGTAGTATCAAAATGATCCACTCAGAAAGGTAACAAGATACTGCATAAACGGCAGGCACACCAACCAAAGAAACACTAGAAACATAACTTAATGTAACCTGCAATTTGGTAAATAAACAATCGATAATTGTAAAAGATGAATGCCAATTTTGTTGTTTGATTAAACATTCCTTATGGTTATGCCGTCACGAAAGCACATGAAATAAATGTCATCTTGAAGACCATTTCGGGATATGAAGGGGAATAGTTTGGGACCAAATTAATAAATGACATAATTTCAAATATGCTTCATGCTATGTTTGGAAGTGTTCTTGGTAATTTTGATAAATCATGTCAAGCTGCATATAAAAAAAATGCTAAAACAAAAATTTAATGTAATGGAATTGAATTGTTAGTTCAACGCTCTGTAAATTTGTGTTTACCTGCATCTGACTTGAAGAGGCTTCTCCCGGCGTTGGCCTCGTTCAATGGTAATATAATCGCATTTCTGATGGCCAGTAACAGAGAGTTTATATTTGATGTAGAATGCCCTTTACACACCAGTTGAAGCAGGATGATAGATGAAAACAACAGGCCACGAAACATCATGCCTGTTAAAATGTAATTGACATGCTGGGATAAGATGTTGAATTGTTACTGCGGCTGCTAAAAATAACCGTTTATATCATACGTTACCTATAAACGTTCAAAATATATATGAAAAATAATATTTACATTTTTTCATAAGATTATCATGCCGTTAGGAAGTTTTTATATCAAAACAACAATCCGTTACAAAACGTTTTAGGTCAATCAATTAACATATAAATATATTAACATTTACACTGCAAGACCCTCTATTAGGATTATCAGAAGTAATTAGAGCTATGATTGCAATTAGATCAAAACTATTTTAAAGCTTATCCTTCCGCCTAGATTGACATGAGATAACTGTTTAGTTCAAATACACATTTTAGTGACGTTAGGCTGTTCACGAATCTTGTTTGCACCAACACTACAATATTAAAAATATATGGTAAGACCTATATTTTATATCTATAATAACTATGAAATTTAGTATGTAAATATATATATGATGCATATTGGCAGTTGGGACTTGGAAAAATACCGTTCAATCCTTTTTATGTCTTTTTCTTACAATTAGTGTATGTCCTTTCATATTACGGATTTATGATTCGTAATGATTCGAATAAAAATGTTATCATATTTACCATGTAGATAAAATGATATTAGAAAAATTTGCAGATTAGATTTGAAACTCGGTACATTTTGTTTTAAAAATGTCCTATTTATAACAGTTTGAAAATAAGCTAAATTACATTGTAAATATAAATAAATAAAAAGTGATTAATAAATATATGAAAAATTATTATTTTGAGTTGTGATTTAGATAATAATGCATTCTTATAAATATATATAAAATTGCTTGTTTCCCTAAGGTTTAAATAACACACTCACCAGGCGACTGCAGACAGGTACTGTACAATCCTGATTAATCCGTCTTGCTGTATAACTTCCAAGCTATCAATCACCGATAACGGTCTATTATATTTGCATATTAACGTTACGTCGAAATTCAATGTATATCTTATATCAATTTTAAAAATATAATTGTCGACTTGATGCAATGCAATATTACGATGAAAATAAACGTTTGCTTAATCTTTGAATATGATTAAGGTGCATCAGTGCACGTGCAGTGATAAAATTACAATAATGTTAATCTGCAATGTGTCCTTTAAAGATCTTGTATAAATTAGTAATATTTCCACAGAACAAAAAATGAGGTTGGCTGTAAGTTATCAGGAGTATTCCGTCAAACTGTTAGTTGTTTTCTTAGAATTTACCATTTTGTCACCAAAAGGTTATTTAAAACCACGAAAATGATACGGTACTGTGTCTTTTTTCTTCGTAAGGACATGAATACTAATGAATATTTCTGAAACATGTTTAGAATCAGGGTACACACATAGCAGACCTTTCAGCACTTTGATATAACAAGAATTAGGGAGGTATGCATTGCAAAATGCTTTACTGGTCATAGACGCAGCCGTGCACAAGAGCAGGCATTCACAAAGTAGCACAATGGTAAACATTCTTGCTTGATGTGTGCAAATATTTGGGTAATTTGGGGTTATTTTTGGCTATAGATATTGACTGGAGTGCAAACTGCAGACCAAATGAAAACAAAACATGACTGATGTTATTAAAATAAGAGGAATCATTCATTTCTCCAAAAAAAAAATAGACTACGGAAAAAAAATATTGCGGGCCAAAATCCTTATAAAGCTGCAACAGGTCTTTCGAACAAAGATGCATTACTCTAAGCCTATATATCTACATATCCAGATCAAATCGTCAAAATATCAACATTACGTCACAAAGGTTTTTTTTCTTTCGCCAAAATCAATGATGTCACGTGACAGTGCAGACGACTGAGTCAGGTAGCCTAGTTGTGTGTGGGTATTATAGGAAAGATATTTGGGGCAAATCCATTCCGGATCAATGATTTTCCCTCAGTCTAAAACAAATGTTAAAGAGATGCTAAAATTATTTCTGCTTCCTATAAATACCACTTATACTAACGTTTTGTAAAATTAAAATAGAAAACATAGCTTACACCAACTTATAACAGCCACTCTTGTTGGCCCGGATTGAAGCCACATAGTGTCTTAAAGTCTGAGTAAACCGGGGTACATGGAGAAAACCAACTACTTTCTTATGTAAAGAGATTTTCATTGAATGAATGATTGTTCAAAAATGTATAAAGATACCAAAGGTATCAGATACTTTACCTTTTTTAAAATCAAATTTCATTAAACTAATTAAATGTTTGATCATTAGAAAAAAATCCGTTTTATGATTAAGTCCATAACGAGAGATACATTTAATTTGATCCAAATAATGGCAAAATGTCAATATTTCTTACTTGTGCAATTCAAATTATATATTAATGTTGATATGTGATATTCGACAGGAAAATCATTCAGTTTTGTTTTTATTTTATTTCATATGGTAGGACGACGAAAAAATACTTACTGCAACACAAAGTGTAGGATTTAGTGGCGTTTTCTATGGTGCCTTATTATAGTGACGCCACACTTGACAAAAGGACTGTGTGCAATTTTGAATCGGCTTCTTTCCAACATTCGATAATTTTGTGTATGTACCAAAATTAACATACCATGCCTTTCCTTTAACCGTAGCTTTATCTAAACATGACTAGAAAATCTGTAGACTTGAATCCAGTGAATAGAAAATAACGTTCTGATTATTCAATATAAAATCAATACAGAAATGTATCATGTTATGATAAAGCACTATGTACAATAGTTCTTTTATCTAATTGATAACTTTTGATATCTTGCCGTTAAAACGTGATTACTCGTATGGTAATTACGTACATTTTTCTTGTACCTCAGACAGAGATATCCCACGTCATACCCCATGCTAGATGTTTTCTATCTTGCCCGATCTGTCTGGTACCTTTACGTGACATTTCGCGGAATTTTTACACTGCTTTGTATTCATTCGCACGTTAAAGGCTTGAAATTGACAATCTGCATTAAAATATTGCATTTTGTCGTTATCTGCATTGTTTCAATGTTGTAAGCGGAAGCATTTCGTGTGCTCGACATGTTTTTTGATTAAGTTTTTTTCTACAAAAGTCCCGCAAGGTATAATTTTTGCTAAAAGGGAGTTATAAAAAAAAATCAATATCCTATGCGTAGTACAGGATCGTTATTTTTTTTTAAATATTTAAACATTTGTATTTGACATAAATACATGTACATGAACTTAATTCTTAACTGCATAAAAACGCCTGTTTCGCTCCCGAGCAAAGTTAAATATTCTGCTAAACCAGTAAAAAAACTATGCTAGTTAACTAGAGCCTTTAAAATATTTTATAGACATTAAATGAGTAATAAATGTATTGTGCCCAACATATATAAATTATCGCTTATTGTAAGTTGTTCTAAACAAGAATACATTTCTTGACATAATACTCCAGTGTTGAGTTCCTTGGTTAAACCTGAAGTTAATTTAGTATATAATAAAGTGTTTTAATAATATAGATCACGTTTCGGGTGGCAAATGGGGACAATATCTCAATCTTAGCTTATCTGATTTTTTTGTTGCTTTTAATAGGTTATACAAATAAAGATACATTTTTGTTACCAATGAATTAACACTTTTGTATATAATTCTATAGCGAGTTAGCCAATCAGGAAACAGGAAAAGAAGCGTGAAAAGAAGAAACAGTTGAATAATTGAATATTCCTTCACAGTGAAACAATGGATGATATATTTTGTACTCGTCCACAACATGTGTGAAAAAAGTGTTCGCTTTAATAAACCTCAAAATAAAGTTACACGATTTCACCTAGCTGTTTATCAAAATGATTATTTTAATTTACTGTACAATTAAAAGCCTACTATGCATTTTGTATCACTCTCTGATAACGTTCATTGTTTTTGCATTTAAAATAATTTCATAACATTATAACGGAACAAGAATTTTAGCTATGTGTCTATAACACAATAATACTAAATATTGCAAATTGATAAAATCAATCCCACTCAAGGAATACGTGTTATGATTTTAATTTGATACTTAACATGTAAACATGACATTCATTTGCGGTTTTACTGCAACCAGACATGACGTATTCAAAACGTCATGGTCGAATATAGAATCATATTATTAGTTAAGTTTTCTGTGATACCGAACACGAACTTTTTAATACAGTGTGTTTCCTCATGCTACTGCATGTATACTCTCTTTCTCCTGCAATTGCACGTTCATTTTTGATACAATATGTTTTTCCCTGATGTTGAACGTCCACTCTTTAAATACATTGTGGTTTCTGTAATACCGCACATTCACTCTTATAAATACAATGCGTTTTCCGTGATGTTGCACGTTGACTTATTTAAATACAATGCGTTTTCCGTGACAACGCACGTTCACGAGTTTAATAGTGTATTTTCGGTAACAAACCACGTTCACTATTTTTTAACAAAATGTGTTTTCCGTGATGTTGCGCGTTCCCTTATTTGAATACAATGCGTTTTCCGTAGTGTATTTTCGGTAGCATTCTTTTCAATAAAGAGTATTTTTTTCTGTGACGCCGCACGTTTACCCTCCCTTTAATATAATGTGTTTTTTCTGTGATATTGCACGTTTACTTGGTTTAATACGATCTGTTTCCATTACGCAATGACAACCGTTTAATGTATATGAACAGTTTTATATAAAAAAAGTCTTAATTCCTGACGCGATACAGGGAAATATGCTGATTTAAGATAATCCAAGGACGTTTGTGGTTTGAAATTTGTTAACGTCATGACGCGAGATCATTCATCAAAGCGCCAGACGAATATTTAACCAAGCTATGTAATTTTGCACTTGAAGTTTTATTTTGAATCAATTACAAAGCGTTGAGTAATATTTTCATTAAAAAATATATAAATTTCCACATATATATATAATGTGATGTACTATCAAAAGCAGAAATAAAACAAACATGATTATATTTGGTATATTTATGCATATTTCCTGGCCATCTATTCTCTTCAAAGTTCAATTTTAACAAATTTACATCGAACGAATGCATTAAAAACAAACAAAAATGCGATCAAAACCCATGTCAATTTTATAAAACTTTTACAGAAGACAGCCAAGTATATATGATTTTCGGTAAGCATAAAAAAATGTGGGGTTCCCGGTGAAAATTTTGCAATTTCGCTCACTTGAAGTTAGAACTCCATTCCCCCACCCCATTTTGCCTATTCCTATTTTAATGCGTAAAAGGCAAATTTATGTCATATTATTATCCATACCGTCAAAAATATAATACTTTATCGTGTCACCACACTTATATTTGATATACATTAAAATCAAATAGCATTAATGCTCGGAACTTAAATAAAAATCAATATTTCGAAGTTCAAAGCTCCTCTGCTTAATTTTTGAAAATCTTTTCCATTTACATGTATATTTCAAATGAGCACAAAAGCATCTGGTTACACATGCAATGTATTCAAGCTGAATCCAGAGTGTGTGTGTGTGGGGGGGGGGCATGAATGCAGATTTTGGAATCTAATACAACGTAGTTCTGTGAACTCTCATTCATAACACAAGTAAACATATCTTGAATTTGAGAATGAACTACAAGTGTAATATCAGATTCTGAATATGAATCTCAACCAGAATTCCTGATTGAAAATTCACAGAGAAATACATTCTTGGAAAGTTATTAATATTTACTAAGTTAACTTACTATGTATTTTAGTCATTTTATAACGGGAAAAAAATGAATAAAACACATTTTGAAAATTTACATTGATTTTAATCAAATCGCATTTTTGAAACATAAAAACAGGATTAGAAGCAAAGATAGGAATGTTTGTCTTCGGAGTATGTACATTGTAGTATGAATTGTATGTATCAAATTAATAACACATTTACAGGACCTATGCATTTGGGTTTTTTTCTCGCATTAAATTGTCCAGAGTTTTGTTTCCATCCTGGTGTCTTCTTACATAAGGCTTTCTGCTTAATATCCATGACCTAGAACATTCCTGTAAAAAAAGGAAAAATAAATTGAATGATTTGTAACAAAAACCTATTATGCAGAATCCAAATTACAATTACATGTATAATTATATATAATTATGACTATATACAGTCACTGGCCATAAGTATTGGCGCATATCGGCGACGTCATATTTGTAAATGCTAAGATTTTATAAGGGAGGGAATATTTAAAAGTGGAATATCTCAATAAATAAAGAAGTTACTTACATGAAATTTTCAGTACTTTGTTATCTGTCCCCTAGCTCTAAGTACACTTCGTAATCACTTTAGTAGTGTATCATATAGGTTCCGAATATAGCACAAAGACTATACAAAAAAATCTGTACGGTTCTTGCTTTAAGTTCTAACAATCCTGCAATTTTTCGAGCCGAAAGACCACTGTTAGACAACTTTACAATGTTTTCTTTATCGGCTGGGGTCAATTCTCGGCTTTTTGGAACCATTGACGGGCAGACGACAATATAAACACATAGAAAGGTGAATAACTCTTTTTGAGTGTATACGCAATTCCCTACCTCCGGTACTGGTTTTGTAAGAATACGTGTTATTTGGGCAAAGATACAGCTGAAAACGATAGGAATACATTTTATTCACTTAATGACGTCGCAATTATGCGCCAATACTTATGGCCAGTGACTGTACATAATTATAGTGCTTCAATATATCTTATTGATAATCACATGTACATAAGTCATAATTTAGAAATGACTGCATTAAATTATACTAATACTGCATAATTATATCTGGTCAACCAAACTTACAGGAATGATAAATATTGATAATATTTACTTTCATGGTTCAATGTAGTAGATAAGCTAGAAATATATATATATACATGTAGAATACAAAATAAATTTTAATAACAGCTTATTCCACAAACCATATTGAAAATTATGACATGTATACTATGTTTTGCTAACTCTATGAGGAAGTAAGTCAGCCCACCAGTGTCCCATTTCCAAGTTTTTACACCATTACATTTTTTTTCAAAATTTTAATTCATCTCTTGATTAATATATCACCAGAAATCAATCTTGGTGAATGCTTGGTTCAGCACAGAGACTAAATATACTAAAAGAGACATTAGCAGCAGCTTTTACAGATTCATTTTCAAATGATAGATTTTAGTATATGGGGTTTTGTCACATTTGATATGACATTTATCAAATTATCTGTTGTTACTTTGCTATTGCCTGGTTATCATATTCATTTTCCACCCTTGTTATGATGACCTATGTCCTTATAAATTATTCTCTATGATTTGATATATCCAGGTTTGGCCTATTGCATTTTACTTTCTGTCCTTACTTCCTGTAATAATGAAAAACAAACCATGCATCTTTTAAAAAATTACTCTGATTTGTTCAGATATGAATTTAATTTGACAAAAAAAATATGATACACTATACACAATACACTACAAATACAATAAGAAGCAAAGTGATTTGTTTACTAATTTTGAAATCTTTCAATAAAATGTTGCTTTGATGTTTAGAGTTGAAATGTAACCTGATCAGCAAAATGTCACTGTCTAAAACGGAGATTACAACTTAAAGGAAGGAAACCCCCAACTGGTACACAGAGAAACGCACTGATGACCTACGTGAAAAAAAGTTTGGTCAGGGGTTTGCTGAGAGTATAATAAAAAGTAAACAATCTAACAATCTGCTCAAACGCCTGTGCACTATATAATATGACACTTTATATTTACCTCATTGTGGCAACCCGTCTACTCGTGTCGGTTCGGTATGGTTCCTTGGTGTCATTGACGATGACTCGAGATATTTATTTTCAGTTGCAGTTTTCAGACGATCACTTGAAGCTGTTTACACCGCCATTTATTAATTATTTCTGAACAAAATCTCTGTCAACAGTCAGGACGGAATTGCTGTAATGCTTCGAATGAAATGTTCAACGTCGAGACCTTTAGCTGTTCATTTGAGTAGAGAAGTGTCGCCGTCAGTGTGATGGGTGACGGTCATAATTATTCCATCGTACGAAATGACCTATTCCGTTCAGGTGATGAAAACTTCTGATTATCGTTTGTTCTATTCAACATGTAGATAAGTGAGCAATAACAACGGAAAGCACATATTCTTTCACTTTCAGACTTCATCCTCAGCAGCTGTCATATCGCTGACATCAGCTGCGATAGTAAACTTCCGGTGTAAACGACTTAAGTTCTTATTTACAAGAGTTCAATATCACATTAAATACGTTTATTTAAATATAAAAGATGGTCGGACTAGATAGTTTTCTTTTTTTTTTTGACGTTCTTAATTGTTGTTAATAATTGTCGATAACAGTTTTTAAATCCAAGCGTGGTGTCGTTAGGTTACCGTAAATCATACTGAAAGTTAGCCACCATGCGCAGTTTCCTGCGCAGTGGCGCTAAATTTGAGAAGGATGGACCCACCTTAAATGACTATAGCTGTGTATATGACGTTAAAAGAAATAAACCAAACAAAGCACTTATTACAAAATATAGCATGTCGAAAGTAAAACAAATGTTTTGCAGCGCAATATGGGCATATCGGCCAAATTTGACTCATCAGTGTTACTAAGAGTCGAAAGAACGAAGAAAATGTATTTCTTAAGTTTTTCGAAACAAGTGGAAATAGAGTACTAGTGACAAGATGTCTACATACCGTTACTTTACAACTACTGATTGAAAAAAAAAATCTGAATTAACACTCTTTCTAATTTCACAAAAGGTCACTGCGATGACGTCACACTTGTATGTATAACAATCACACAAAATATAAAATTTCGAGGTTTTGTTCGAATCCATTTTTCAACAAACTTAAAAATAATTTTGCTCGATTAACTCCACTAAACCCGCACATATCAATAATGTTATTGATTGAAAAAAACAGAATGTGTACATTATCATGATATACAGTATGATATCATGTAAGTTCCATAAAATAGAATTCCTCCATATTAGAATTTCTGTGACTGATGTCGACCGCTGACGGACAGACTTACAACACAGGGTTTCGAGAGATTACTCAATGGTCTGCCATTTTGTTTTGTTATTACTCCCCCAGATCTCGAAAAAAACGACAACAAGTTACTTGGTTTTTGCTTACGTATACAAGCATTGATTAATAAATGGGGAAGAGTGATATATGTCTGCAGAGATCGAGATTCGATAATGGCTAATTTATGTATATGGTCACTTTCATCTTGTTATTGGGTTCACCTGGACTATCAGTAATCCAATTGTGTTTTGGAAATTTAGAGAAAATGAAACGTTTTTGTTGGATCAAACGTTAAAGTCTGGAGATCCGTATTTGCGGTATGTAAGCTGTGTTAATATGATTTCTTCGGAAGGCCGTTTTTGTTCCGATTTTTTTACAAAATAAATTTTCATATAAGTGTCAATGCAGGTACATGTACTTGATTATCCTTGCCAAGTTAATCTGCCGGACATTTTCTTTTGATCGAACGATAAACAATAAAAGACATGGTGTTTTTTTCTCTCGAAAAGCCGAACAGTTGTTTCATGTAAGGCATGCTCATCTCTAATGTATTTTTTATTATTTTTATGAAATAAAAATTAAAACTAGATCCTAGATCAATTGGCTGCATTTTTTAATATTGCTGTTTTCACTGAAATCTCAATCCTTAGAGGGGAGATTCTTGATTTTTTACCCCATGATATTTCCTTAACCGATGTTCACGATTGAAAGAAGGATAAGCTGAACACTCTTTTTTTTATAAGAAAACGACATGTACTGAAATTCAACACATGTCCAAAACCTTTCATACTGTAATTGTTTTGGAAAGGGGTAAAAGTGGGTTCCTCGGATTATGAACGATAATTTCAACGAGACGGTCAGCAATGCCACTGGGCAGGGATTATAGATCTTAACTTAAATCCTTCATTTCAGTCTGAACATTGTATGTGGGAAGATAGATTAAAATGTGTAAAATACAAAACATCAAAATCTTTTGATAATATACACATGAGGACGCGAGTAAAAACTTTGAATTTAACCCTGTTAATGTCAAAACTTCTGATTGCGTAGAAATGTTTCCAAAGTAAAAAAGAATTCTGCGATATCTTTCTTGTTGACGACGAAGTATCTATTGTTCTGTCTTACTTTATCATCAATGCTATATACTTTGTACTTGTTTTTTCATGGTCATATATTTCTTTAAATTATATTTGCCCTACTTTTATCGATTTTGAGTTCGAATCACGGCTCTGTCGACACAACACTTCGGTATTTTCTTGTTTCTTCCAGCCTTGCTTACTAATAGAATTAAATCACCGTTGTAATGCCAGTAAAAGACAATAGTTTCTTACCTTTAACGTATACTTGTCTCATTTGCACTCCTTTTTCAATTTTTATCTTGTTTTGTATAACAAATTATCTTTAATTATGTTTCAGCATTCCTGATGACACGTATATTGACACCAAGAAAACAAGCCAAACTACAAATAGAACAAATACATTTCCGTATTCGGTAAAAAATGTTGTTTTTTTTATATCACTAATTGCAAAACACATATATCAATTTCATCATTCATTCATGTGCGAGGATCTTTCCGGAATTCCCGGACGTTCATTATTAAAATAGTGAACTGTTTATCTTTCATTCAATTCATATCCCATTCTAACATTCACAACTAAAAACATTGAAATAATGACAAATGCACACTTCTACCACCTTTTGAACGGTTCTCAAATTTCAGTTTTAATAATAGATATAAAGCTTAATTTTTAATGAATTTCATTTGCCCAAAATTTTCTTAATCTTCCTTGATTTTTTTGAATTTATTCCAGATTGGTTTGTTTTTTTGTGAAATAATGCAAAATTTGGTTTGCAATATCTTTTGTCAATGGGTTGTTTTGGTTAATTTACTAAATTTAAGTTGTCGGCTTTGATAAATTGATAAACACAAATACACATATTAAGTCACAATACATTATTATTTAAAATATCCATCTAAATAGTGATTAAGTTATGAGAAAATAGTTCTGTAGCAGCAACAACTACATAGACTTAAAAACGAATTGCCTGCATTCCGGAGAAATATATCACATGGATGTGGCAATATTCAACATTTAAATGACAGAAGTCGACATTATTTATTTTGTGCAATATTTTTAAATTTAAATGATACATTACGCTACATTATATTCTGAAATATTGATTTGTGTTTATTTGCTACCTCAGAACATTTCATAAACATTTCGGGTATTTTACTTTTCTTTGATTAAGTGTTAAATGAAACATATCTTACAATTGACCACGACTTTGTAATACGAGTGGTTTAGAATTCGTTATTATAATTTGCACATACAGCATCAATTACACCTATTATCAATAACGAAATTAGTAATATAATTATATAAAGTATACATCGCGGAAGATCTCGCTACAAAACATTTTTTCTATATGAAAAGAAAATAATCTAAAAGATGTCATTTTTGTTTTCTTCTTCTTGAGATTAACACATCTCTCTGGCAAAGACAGTGAAATCACGATGCTGAAACTAAATACAGACGTTCCCACTTTAGGACGATATATCGTTTGCAACAGTTAATCAAAATCCGTCAAATAAACGCTATTCTGATCACAGTAGTTTGTATATGGGATTCAATGGAACAGCGTTTAATGATTACGATTTCATTTTAAAACAATATAATGATGGTATTAACAAACTTCGTTAAGTAGTAAGTTACATCTGAAAAATGTGTTACATATAAAAACAACTGATAACATTCAAGAGAGATCTTCTCTGTACGAACAGAATACGCTCTGTGATATGCATGTATGTTGTTATTTTATCAGAGAAGACTGTTTCTATCATTTTATATATATAGATGAACTGGTGTAGACATTGGGCTATTCAGTTTCTGAAATACAATATCCAACACTTACCAGTTGCAATTCTCTCATAAAAGATGAGATTATGATCTTACTTTACGATGTAGTCTTGTACTTCCCTTCGTGTAGTTATGTTTAACACTTGTAGTACAAAAGTTACAAATTATTGATCAAATGAATTAAAATAGCTCAGTAAAAACGCATTCATGGCCTTTCATAACAAACTATCTTTAAAACTAAATGCATATATGTTAAGTAAAATTCGTCAGTCAGTGTACAAAAAGACATTTGAAACATCAATATGTATTTAGTGTCCAAATAACAATGTGTTTATTTGATATGCATTTCCTTTCTATAAGTATATTCATTCTTTGTTAAGAAAACTGTTTTGGATATTTATGGTCGGAAATCTGGAGATGCTAGTTCCATATATGGTTATACTCCGTAACGATGATGGACGTTATTCCGAGGCATCATGATTCTCATACTTTGACGAGCATTCTTTGGCGTAGGTTCTGCAATAACTTGTTGAAGACATCCTTGAAAACGTATGGACTATTAGGGCTCTGCAGTGGATTGAGGAAGGACACTGGGCTTATTGGTGATTGGAATGTATGACTGCCCGCCTCACTGTGTTCCTTCCAAAACGACAGGTCAATGGAAGGAATCTGACTGCACAAAACCTTTCTGTTGCTGCAATAGTGATAAAATAATTCAAATATCATTATCCTTTTCTCTATATATATGGAAAATCATTAAATGATATCAATATCTTCATGCTGTGGTCCTTTTGACTGACTAAGATCTCTTTTAAGATTCTACGTTCTGTTTTTTATGTTACATGGTACAACGCGATAAATGAGCAAACAGGAATGGGGATGTAAGAGTTATTCACCTTTAATAAAAATATCTATTTCTGTATTAATTTTACACTTTTCCTCCAAATATGGTTAAAACGTCCATGCATAAATGTATTTTCTCTTTAAGGGATGTGAGATGCATAACAGTGTNGGGGGGGGGATCGATCAGTTTGACTTTTTTTTTTAATTATAAAATTATTTTGAAAAATTAAAATGCCGTTAGATTATAGCCATTTAGTTATGATAACATTTGAAGAAAATGGTGAAAACATGAATGGCAGCAGTTGGCTGGTGCTAATTTCATCAGCATGAGATTTAGGCAAGGCATCTGTTGTGTCCTAATTGCTATTCATGTTAGGTGAAAGCTGCAAGCCCGATTTTTTTTTTAAATTTAGTTTTAGTGAAGAGGTTCAGTACTGTCGGGAGAATACAACTTTTAATAGAATTGGCGAAGATTAAGCAAGTTCGACTTGGTTATCGTTGTGCGACTATAAGGTATAGTCATTGTATATTAGTTGTTAATGTAGTAAAACTTCTATATATGTTTACTCTTTGTGTTTTCCCATGGACCTATTGAATACAATGTTGTATCGCTGTTGCATGTTGTCGCCTTAAGAACAAAAGACCTAAAGGAAGAAATTACGCTTAACCATATACAAGGACTTCTTTAGGTGCAGATGAAACTATTTCACCTAAACAGATATTAACAATCTCTTGATCTATACTATTCAATATCCCATTTGCTATTGTACCTCTTGGACATGAGGGGCGAAGTCAAATACAGCATTTAAAGATAAGTCGCTTCGCGTTCATGCAATTTACCGCGTGCTGGACTTAATTTATTACTATAAACAAAGAAAAGTTAAAAGATAATCCTTAATAATTTCTTAGAGCAATCTTTCAGTACATGGGAAGAAATTGAAACCTTGGTTTCGTGTACAAAGCATTCAAGGACGTATGGGATGCAATGATTGTGCAAAAAAAAAAAGAATGTGACTTTTATCAGAGCGGAACCAGGGACAGTGCTTTTTATTTTTAAAGAAAGTGTATCCTCTATCGAGCTGATCTAAATATTAAAGATGTTCAACCTGTTGTCTGATCGACAGATACATTTTCAACTCCTGTTTAACTCCGTCAGGCTGATTTTGACCTGACATTCTAACAATGAATGCTTTCATAATTGTGAATTGGTGCTCTCATTTCTGCTTGGCTGAGGCATTATCGATAAAATGTTTTAGTTTCACTTGGTCGATTGTCATAAAAATGGAACAAGAGTTTAACTTATTGCCCAAATCACTTTGTGTTACTGTAATAGTATATGTCAACAAGGAATCCAAATAAGGAACAGAATTTTACATTTTGACTCCGTTTTTTATTGTTTTACAAATAAAACAAAAACCGAAATAAGTAAAACATTTGGGTGACGTGACAAAATCACCAAACTAGTCTGAAGCCCCCTACTGATCTCAGTAAGGACTGAGTAAGGTAATCAGGAGGTCGCCGAATGCTACCTGTGAGTGGTACTTATTTGAGAGACTATGTTAATTATTGTTTAAATTGTTTCTTTGAGTTTTTTGTCCTACTGTACTCTTTTAGGGTTTGATATCAGAATTGATAATCCATTAAATATGATAACATACCTGAAGTCGTTATTAGCTAGGAATACTGATGGTTGAGTCACTTGTGTACCGGTGTTTTTACACAATACTGAAGCCAGGGTCGTTTTCCTGATTTCGTTCAGCTGAGCTTTAAAACAAAACAAAACATGACATATTACTTTTACGGCATCCAAATTTAAATATAATGTAAATATTTTGATGAAGAAAAAAAAAATCGGTATCATATCAGGTGACAAATATTTCATAAGTCGTCACAATTGTTCCCATTTTTCAAAACGTTGAAATAATTTTCAATAGGCTGTAGCCTTAAAAACTGCAACCAATAATACACTCTGATTTCACCTTATTGTTTTTGATTTCTGTTGTTTTATTCCTTGCCGTGAACAATCAGTGTTTCTGATAACTGCCCCGTCCCAAAAAAATAAAAGCTCACGAAATGTGATCAAACTTAACCCTTCATAAACTTTAAGCTCAAGCTAGGATTTTGTGATATTGTGACCAGGTACTCAAAAAACGACCCATAGATAATGCTGTTTTTCATATTTGAGACGATTTTAGATCAATTAGGTTATATTTACCTACGTATGCATAGAAAAATTCCAAGATGAAGTTGAAACAACCTCTAGATTGTTCAATTAACATTTTCATTTAACTGTAAACTAATAGAAACCAGCTGACAAATTGGTGATGAATTAGAAAGAATGAAAACAAAATAATGACACATTTGACAAGTATACACGAATAAGTGACACATTTGAAAAGTGCACACACAGGAATGAATTATTAGCATCCATATATTATTAACTGTAATACTTTCATTCCATTGAAGTTAAAGTCCTGTACTCTACTTACGCAGTGTGAACCTGCTTTCCGCGTCATCGTTCTCGTACCAGAATCTATCTCCACTCTGATATTTCTTGAACTGTCTTGCTATGATACAAGCAAACGTGGGACCCGTCGCAGCGCCGGGAAGACGTATCTCTGACAGACCTCCTGTGTAGAGATCTATGTCATCCGGGTGACTGTCAAGGGAGACAATCGTTATTTATAACGAATTTAGAGATACACTGATATGCATGCTTAAATTTAAAGGCGTATTTTAGTTTTAGGTGTTTGGAATTGAATTAGATTCGTCTTCACGTTTCATAATTGTTTTACTATTTAATTTTTACACATTGAGCAATTTAACAGAATATCAAAATTGTATGTATTTTTTGAGGTTGATGAAACTAGAACAACTACCATCGGAAGTTCTAGTCCTATAATAAGCTAAACTGAAACCAACCTTTTAACGTTTTGAAAGCAGATCACTCAAATCAATACACATTCTTCAGTTATGTGGCATTTATTGATTATCAGTATTCTGACGTCACCATATTCAAAATACATTTAAATCGGCGTTTGGTGGTGAACATTGTATACGCACCTGTATACTTTAGACAAGAGTTTTCTTGTAGCTTGGTCGTGGTCAATAAGTCTCCCGAGTCTCTCCCCGAAATGTAAGGCAGTCGGTAGACCACACCACTTCCGCCACGTGTTGTAGGGAGGAAGTCCGTGGTCACGCCCCCTTTGAATGTTTATGGCAGCTAGATCGAAACTCTCTCCGTCATCCTTCAAGAAAAGGAAGTTTCGAACACTATCCTGTAGAAGACGATCGTTCCGGTCGTGGTAAGAATTGGTCATCCACCTCATCAGGTTTTCGTCTCCATTAGAATCAAACATGAGATCGGGTCTGTTGAATTGGGTGTGGAGAGGAATTGCTTTAATGAGACTGTAATTTCTTGCCATCATCGCTAAAACTCCCGGAACCTCAGAATGTCCAAATCGAAACGCCGCAGCACCAAAAGCATTCGATGTGGAGGCTTCGACCGTTTCGTCGTACACCGTCTTGTAGCTGTGTGTCGTTGGGTAAAGACCATACTGGTCCATATGCTCTTGACCAATGACAATCGGCAGATACTCTGAGAATGCGATATGTTGTAGCTCGGCCGATACGATTCGTTTTGCCTCCTGGAAGAGCCGCTCGTCGTCCCAGTGTTGGTTCAATGTCCGTAACGTGTCGACAATGTAGTTGTGTTCTTTTACGAACAACAGATGTAGACACGTCAACGTCGGGGTCACGTGACGACGACCATCACCTATAGAGAAAGGATTGTACATACAGTTTTTTTTTCAACAGTGCAAATATTCGTACCATGTAACATGTTGAATGACTTTTCCTTAAGTTTCCCAAACGAAGTGGGGGATTTATTGATATCGATGCGTTTCTTCTCATTATTAAAATACATTTATTGGGGTACGTCAAGGGGATGACAACGGTCCCTGCCTTTTTCTAATTTGGCTCCAACTTCGTGTGTAAGGGTATTTTGGCAGTGCATCATTTGCGGGGACTTATCGCCGTTTCAATAAGAACATGTTTTCTTTGTTATCACATAAATCAAAACACTGAAACGTATGGACAACATGTATGTTCTAATTTATTTTTTAGAATGCTAACCTGCCTATAATTATTATTTAATAAACGCATTGCCATATCAAATCCAATGGTTATGTCATCTTGATTGCAGTTGATCAAATTTCACTTTTATAAATATTTGTCTGGAGTTAGTCGAATAGAAATTAAGACCGCTTATGTTCTGATACTTTCCATTAACAACAAAGTGTCTTGTCTTAAAAGCTAGCTGTGGAGTCTATCCATTTTAATTTGATATCACAATTCTAGGAAACAGTGCTCGAATTTTTTAATCGGTTTTACTATGCACACAGTGAAACTTTAATATATTATTTTTTTAATTTAAATTGCAAAAAATACAGTTGAATGAAACGATACGCTTATGGACTTTGCAATTAAGTGTTTCAAATGTCTGAAATAATGTAGATTTCGGAGATTACGTACCTTCTTTCTTATATGTTATATAATATTTAATGGTTTTCCATTTCAAATTCTTACCTTTTTAAATTTACAATTACACAAGGTAGACGTATTTCCCTGTTTGATATTTGACGCTGTAGTGATTTTTCTCTATTTATCTAAGAGCTACCGCCCTTCGTACACAAAGTCATGTGTTGATAAATTAATTCACTTCTTACGGCTCTATCTGTATGCTTTGTTAAGACAACATCAATTACAGCTAAACCCGTGAATCATTTAACCAAATGTCATTAATTTTTTTAATAGTTGATATTGAATATATTCTACGTTTACATCGTCGCCATTTCCAAAATAATTTAAAACAATCAAATGTATTAACAGCAAAATACAATAACATAACTTGTGTCCCGGTCAGTATACATAATAGACCAGTTTAGACACTAAGACAGGGATGTCTGATGCCAATACCTGGGACGTCACAAATCGCATATCACGATATATTTTGTAATATAAGAGGAATGTATTGCGATCACTTCTCGCTTCATTAGCTAGGGAAAAATAGCTTAAAAAATAACCAGCTGCTGATCATGGTATTACCAGTTTATGATTACTAGAAAAATGTGTTACAAGGTCAAAACACCTAGAAGACATTTAAAGATAAGCCATTGAAAAATATTGCGATACAGCGATATTCCATTTCTGCATTGCGAAACGATACGATACGATACGATATGCCTGCGAATTATGACATACCGGTCTCTCGATATAATGTGACAGCCCTAGCCAATACCTGACTGGAAGCAGTGATGTCCGGGAGATGACAGAATACATTCGTTATCCGGAGCGCTGTGGAGATGTCCTGATGCCGACAGCTTGATACGACCTACAAATCAAATGTAATACTGTCATTAGCATAAACAACCTTCATCACGCATACAAATCAGCGAACATATTTTGTTCATTTGTGTTTCACCAAAAGGTCATGACTCCCGTATACAATCTGTAGTCCAATTATTTCGTTGGCTAATGGTCTTAAATCTTTATGCTATAAGTTTTGGTATACCTGTCAAATCATATTCATCGTGAAATAAAATTAAAAACAATTTCAAAATTATGATTTACTAGAAACTTTACGGCAAACGTTAAAAAATGGTTGATAATTACAGCAATCGTCACCAAATAGATTCAGTTTAATTGCAAGTAAGTTAATTCAAAGTGTTTTTCAGATACTGTTTATATTCATATATTGCTGAACGTTTGCAGCTCATATCGTGTAAACTAAGAAAAGGTAAACACAAAAAGTGATGACGTATACCGCAATATTTGGCGCGGTATTTGTAACTAACTTCTGATTGGTGGCGGTAGCTCGATTATGAAATTGCAGCGCCATGTTGTATTTTGTGCAAAAACATTTTTTTTATAAGAAATATTTATTACTACGAACTATAAAGTGTTGTCTGTCTTTTTTCTATTTCTAATGAATAACCAGGGTTTATGAAAATGCAAACAGTATATTTGGCATATACATCATAACCCTCAAAATAATAATGGCTATTCCTGAAATATTTACATGTATATAGTCAGTACCATGTTATCACATAAATTATATTATAACATAACTGGCCCATTTTTCTGTGTCATACGGCCATGTCATAAATATGGTATCACACACGTGTAATAAAACCTTAAGGTGTTGCGATTGGACAAAAACGTGGGAACATATTCCCACGCCACTACAGGAACTACTTTATTCACTTTACCGCATGATATATTTACTGGGTTTTTTAAATATATTTGAAATACTTTTTGTGTTTTTTTTTTTATTTATTAAATTCATCGCATTTAAAACCATTCATTTTTTTTTAATCTGGAAGTACTTTGAACTGCGCGGAACGACATTACTATGATCAAAGTACTTCGGTTTTAACCTATATAAAATCATCTGATAACAATAATTTTGTTAAAAGTTTTTATTGAAACTATTAAAATTATTTGATAAATTAAATCTTACATTCTCTTCCATATCTTATTGAATATATCAAACCTCGTCCAATAAATAAAATATGACACTACTAAAGGCTCGTGTCATATCAAATTATTGAACTCGTTTGATAAGTTCAATAGGACACGGAGCCATTCGTGTAAGGTCCTGTATTTCTACCATACGTGACCATACCGTGGTGATGGAGGCGAAGCTCTTCCTGGTGTACTTTGTTGGAGCCATATATGGCAGATCCGTCTATATAAGACGTAGGGTGATTCATTTGTTCCCGATGCCCTGTAAATCAAAATTTTGAAACAAAAATCAACATTTAATTTAGATTTAATTAGCATAATGTCGTTGTCCTGACTAATTCTGTCTTTGTATTATCCTGTCTGTAGCTTAATTTCATGCACAATTATAGTACAATTTACTATATTAAGACGATGTTATTGATACACAAAGTCTGTAGGTTTCAATTCAACCACGGGTCTGTCTAGTAATAAAAAGGTGAGGATGATTTTCATATATGTCTTATTACATGGAAACAAATCCAGATATATTTTTTATCAATTATCAAGATGTATGCAATTATTCGCTGAACACTTGTTTCAATTTCCCATCTTGCAGTCAGGTCTATTGACTTAATACTGACGTCACGATGGGTGATTATGCAATCCCATAAACTAAATGACGTGCATCCATTGTTTAACATTGCAGATATATGCTAAAATTTCGCAGAAAATAATTTAATACATTTTAATCAAAACCGATCTAAATTATTCAAATACATTCAATGATTGTAATTGAATTCATGTTTCACGTTCGTGTATGGGTGTTTAATTTACAGGTGTCATTAGGTGTATTACCTGGGTCACAGTTCGGGAGAGGCGTGGCTGATGATCGTACGAAACTCATGCACCATCCTCGGAACATAGGATCATCCAGGGGGACTGCAATCGGGAAGCAATGTTCACTGCAAAGTAAACGGGGCTAGTCATGGCAAGGTTCACTTCAAGCTCAACTTAACATTGTACAATTTGTCCTCTTTTTTATTAATTCAAAAAGAAATTGTTCAGTTGAAATGTTGAATTTTCGTTTTCATTACTGTTAAAGTGAAAGTTTTCGCGTGTGGAAATGTTCGCGTTGTTACCCTTTAAAGCAATCGCGGTGTGGAAATTATCGCGTTTGTAATACTACTCAAATCTATCGATCTTTTCATCTATAATCTATATAAGCTATACATTTATCTTTACAATTGACTTAAGGTGTATAATTAAATACTAATAGCAGATATTATCGCGCGAATATTTCCTCACCGCAAAAATGTTCACTTTTACAGTATTACAATCCTTATTATGCAAAACTCAAATTTGAAACTCTCTTTATTAATTAGATCACTTATACAGAATAGTCGATTTGCAAAATTTTGCTTACTCCCTATTTCCCAGCGGACAGCATTGCATATCCTTCCCGTTATCATCTAAAATACAGAAATATTCAAATGAGATCATTTATGTGTGACGAAATAAACTGAGGGATATAACTTAAGATTTCTGATGATATATGTCTGATATTTGTGAAAATGGCAAACCAGCTTTACACAATACGACGATATGAAAATACCAACATGTTTGATATCAGCAATCTGACAACAAGATCATGCCCAAACTTCAGTAGTATCTTTATAGAAAAAAGATTTTTGATTATTTTTAATAATTTAATCAAAATTCATCAAACTTTTACCATTTTATTTCCAAATTCAACTGGTTTAAGTTTTGATCAAAATAAATAAAATACTAATTAAGTTGATAAAAGAAATTAGCTTAAGTATACTTGATACATAATCTAATGATATTTCAATGAGCATCATGTTCTATATTTCTGTTTGAGTATTTAAAACAATCGATCATGGTATTTAGATAACATTCAATCAAGGATCCCCGTACCACTGACAACAACTGTAACTGCGCATGCGTATTAAAGACATTGTGGAATCACGTTAGCTTTGAGAAATCATTTATAAAAATAAAATATAGCTTGTGGGACTTGCGTGGGAAAACATAATGGAGATGAAATAAACAAAAAGGTAATCAGCCTCAGTGTTTTGAATGTAGAGTTTCCGCGTGGACTAGACTTTGTATTCTATCATTCGAACCGACGGAATGCTGCGCTGTGTGCCGTCGGCATCGTACATGCATTTCAGTAAGATAACACTATAAAGTTGTCATCAGATCCACTCAATAATAAGTAGGCAAGTTCACCAACATACCCTGTCTCCAGCACATACACATACACACACACGCACGCACGCATACATACCACACACGGAGGTACGTTCTTAAATGACATTAGCTGTTAAAGGGACAAATTAAAACCACACCACAACCAAACCTGGTCAGCATAGATGGTACTACGAAATTAAGGAGAGGTCACAGTATTGTATATGATTATGGAAAAAAAATCACAGAGGAGCGGAACAGGGACTCTTAAAAAATGTGACTAGTCTGAATTCGGAGTAATACATGTCGGCGTGTAAATTTACCTTTCAGGACAGGTGTATGGAGTATATCGTGGTCCAGGAACTGACCGTACGCCATGAACATATTAGTGCTCTTTTTACTGTACACTGGACTATGACCTGTGTTGCTATGGACAACGTTACTAATCAGTCGAGCACTCGGCAGTGGTTTCCCGTTGATCGATTTTGTCCGTGGTGCGTTGATTTCTGCAAATCAGAGTAAGAAATATACACTATAAAAGTGATCCTTTAGCGGTCTAAAATTCAAGGTTATTATCTAATTTTAACAAACTATGTCATTGATGAATTGGCGCTCTCATGATATATGCAATAAAATGTATACAGAACCTTCAATAAGCGCAATACAAAGACTCTTAAATCTAGAATACCGCTAAAATATGAACGTGTAATAATGTACGAAGTGAATCCCTATTTTTTAACATGTTTAATTGTGTCACCCTTCTAACTTGTAACACTCTATCTGATAAGATATCTTGCCGGGGTCTATATTTCTATATACCCCGCTCTGCCGGGGTCTATAAAAGCACGTGCGAGGGGAGATAAATCAAACTAGAATCTCTCTTCATAGCAACAAAGATGGCGTCCGACACACACAAGCGTCCGAGGTGTGCCAATCATTCACAGGATAAAATAGCCTACTTAATTGACAGCAAATTTAACGAAACAGCCAATGAGGGGGCCACTAGGGTGCTAATTATAAATATGGTTGTGTATTGTCCGAAATGTTGCCGAAAAGATGTCCGGTAGGGGCTATTTTGGTAGCTGTTAAGTAAGGTGACCCAAATCGGATCACCAAACCATCATTACCAGGACCCCAATCGGATCAAGGCTTGCATTTTGCAGTATCTTACACGTCAAATGAATATTTTTTTGTCAGCATATTAACATTTTATGATAACCTTTAAAATTTATATGACAAAAAGTATTTCTATGTTGTGAATTCATTCCTATAGTCCAAAACAGAATGTATAGTCGTCGCACGTCGCGCCATTTTTTAAAAACGCTATCACAACACTAACATTTGAGTTTGAATTCGTTTTCTGGTGCTATTCGAATTTAAACACTGATCATCTGTAGACTAAGAAAGTGTAAATGGCTATCTATTGTATATATATTAACCATTTGTCTATTTTACCTTTCTCTGAATCAAACACATTTTCACGGCTATATTTAAAACGACGTATTTGTTCCGATATTACCGACAATATCCAATATGCCTAGTTCTCATTTCTCCCCATGGTTTATTGCGCGTAAAGACTTCCAATTTACTATCATGACGAGTTTGCTTTCATTTTTAACACATATCACTTACCGTCTTCGTATTTCGGTGGCAGAAACCGAGTTTGTGGCGTCATGGTACTACCCCATAAAGGATGGGCCATGTTATTACACGTTCCGTCTGCGGTCCTGTACCGAGCCGAAGCGTCACACGTGAAACTTGGCGCCATGAAATCACAATGTGGCTTCACTTGCTTTCGCCATTCCTTCTTCAACATCTCGTCTTTCATGATGGCTTCCGGCCAGGCTCCGGTCCTAAACGATCAATTCAATAAAATATTTTATTAATCATTCATCAAAAATGGGAATTATTTTTGCAGAATCCATTACCTATAAAACATTCGTATCGAATTCATATAACTCCCAATGGTATGCACTCGTGCCTAAACGTAAGCAATTCATTAAGACAAATATCCTTCACATTGCAACGCCATTTGGAAGCTTACAATTAACATCGCTATTACGACAGCGATATCCTTTTCAATGTTGCATTACATTTTCACTGTGTTGTCTTACTAATACACTTACAATTTTCTGAAGTTTTCCTGCACTCGTCTTATGACACGAGCATTCCTATCTAGAATTCGCACGTGCGCATGCGAGTGACCACCTTCGTTGTGATCCATGTGACCGTGACCTACAAGGATGTGAAGATAAACACTTGTATTTAAACATTTAAAGAACTCCTTTTTTTCTTTTCTTTTTCTCTCTCGAAAGTCGAAAATAAAACTAATCCTATTCCATCGACGGTCCTATCTGATTTTCTTGAAAGAAAGAAAGTATGATAATCACTTAAAAAGACGAAGTGAGAAGGCACTGATAAAACGTTTATTAAGTCGAGACAGAGAGCATATGCGTCATGCCGTAAGCGAATTCCAACAAACGAGGAAATAAAACACTTAGGCCGACCACGTGTTAATATATTTCCAGTTTGGTGTTTAACCCAACGAATAAAGTAATTAATGTATACTGAACATTTTGGAGTGCTTTCGATCTTATACATGGAACTCTCTAACCTTTGGAGTGTCCACTGTGTGCTTTGTTGCCAGGCGCGTGCATAACTTGGGCTTGGTGTCCATGTGAAGAGTGTTTTCCATGTGAAGAGTGTTGTCCATGTGAAGAGTGTTGTCCGGCTGAATGACCACCGTGGTTGACCGTCAGTTCGGAGTTTATCTGTTCAACTGCTGTTTCAACACAGATCTTGATAAGGTTCGATACGAGGTCTACACTGGTGGGCACGTGCGATGAGAGAGAACAACTAAAAAGGCCAGCCAGGGTCAAGGACACGCACAAAATTACCGTCGTCATCATTCCTGCCGTGAATGGAAAGAAAACAAGATGAAAGTTGAAATAAGGTTATTTAATTTAGAGAACTAATTCATTTTTTTTCTTTAAATATCATTTCTATCTTTGAAATGATAGCCTATGTTAGCCGCGTTTTCCATATGATGATGTGACAACACTTTGGTTTGACCTATATTTACATGGCGGATCACGTCGATGAAGCAGAAGACGCTTACCCTTCCGGAACACCTGGTGTTATCATTCTCCTTGTATTTTTCTAGGCGTTCCATGTAAATCCTTCCTTTGTTTATATTTCAACATTTTTTACTCGATTTTGAGTTCAAATTGTTGTTTAGTGGACATCGATATTCTCTTGTTGTTTGTTAGATGAATGAATGAGAAGGAGATGAATGGAATTAAAATTTGTTTTGATATGTTTACGCTTTTTCTAGCTTTATTTGTTTTCCAACTGTTTCATAGTTAACAATTTTGCCATGTCAACGAACACTTTTGCCGTGATACAACTGTGTGTCTCTATAACCAGATAAGATAGCATATTCACAAAACCAGATTGTTTTATTGTTTGATTGATTGATTGATTGATTGATTGGTTGATTTTTAGGGAGCTTATGTCTCATTTTCGTAACCCTAAGTCACATGACGTCTTTGTCGCACTTGGGATGATATACAGCATGAAACTACCTAAAGACGTCATCAAATCAAGCATAATACGTGTGTATACATGTTATTCACATCTGTGGTTAAATATTAACAATAAACTTGAGTTGTAAACAGTCATTTGTTTATTAAGTTTTGCAAGAGTAAGTCTGTAAATATAAAAATAAAATATATTTGTCATGAGTAAGAATTATGGTATGCTTCAGTTTAATTATATATAAATATGCGTGCCAGTGGTATAATTTTATGGAAATACACTGTAGTACATTGTCTATAGCGTGTTAAGTCATTACGTACTATAAAGTTAATTGTGTATGGGTTTAATTAGTGTAAGCACGTGTAACAGCACGTGTATGACGTTTGTATGTTTTATTATAAAACAAAACGGTTCCACATGTTCCATCTCGCTATAAACACGTAACAGTAAGGTTATTATTAGGTAAGGACTTTCAAGTCTAATTTTAATTAGATCGCTGATTGGCTTTAACTTATCACAAGGCATGTCAAGGTCAGCTACCTTTGGTCAAGCAGTTTAGCCATGAACAAATAATGAACTGACCAAGGGAGGTCAGCGTCCCTCCAAACAGACATCGAAGAAAATGAAAGAGACAAGTCATTACGAAAATATATGAAAGTGCAACTACGTATTCAGTAATGTTTAATAATTCCTGCATCACAAGTTGTACTTTGGGAAATAATCTGATGTGTGTCCGTCTTCTACGATGGATGAATCTATAGACTTTGGTAATAGAGACAGTATCCCTAAAATTAATTCCACTCCATCATACAGCTGTTTTAATATTCTAGGAGTCATCGGTGAGGCTAAGGGCCAAAAGGATGGAAATCCAATTTGGACCAAATAACTAACGGAACAGAAGGGATACGCAAACATCTGTTATTATACGAAGTTTAAAACTGGTGAACCTGAAATTGATAATGAGTAAAGTTAAGAGGCGAGGTTAGCTAATGGCAGGGGTATCCCAGTGGGGCACGTGAACAGAAATATGGTTATATTTAAGTTCAAGTTTGTGGCGTTTATTTTGAAGCAAGCCCCATCTTTTTTGGTTCTTTGTACACCATATTATAAAAATCGACACAAAGATGCATACATATGTTCGATTTCTGGCATTTAGAATAAATGCTCATTTTCGACAATTTAAGTATTTGTTATTTTATCGACAAAAAACATAGCAGAGTATAACCTGTGTGTGCTGTTGGGTTTAATGCAGACTAAACACGATAATATAATTGTATTTATGCAATGCATAAAGTAATTTATATTATCTGGTTAGTACAATGTATATGATATTTTTATTTGTTATATTTTGTGGGTTCCGGATGGAGGATAACTTTCCGTTTTTGAAACTAGTCCATCCCTATAGAAATAGTCACGTGATGTTTTGGTGTACTAAAGTCACGTGACCTGTGCAGAATATTTGTCCATGCTGACATTTTGAAAAATCTCCTTAAAAATCAGCTACCCTCCTCCTCCCCTAATTTGTATCCACCTTTATATACTATTGTGTAACAATGTAATTGTTGCACATCTTTGTTTTAAATTTTGTTTCATTTGTTGTACATCTTTTAATTACAAATGGTGCGTTTATTTTGAAGCAAGCCCCATCTTTTTTTGTTCTTTGTACACCTTATTATAAAAATCAACACAAATATGTATACATATGTTCGATTTCTGGCATTTAGAATAAATGCTCATTTTCGACAATTTAAGTGTTTGTTATTTTATCGACAAAAAACATAGCAGAGTATAACCTGTGTGTGCTGTTGGGTTTAATGCAGACTAAACACTATAGTATAAGTCGTAGTAGACAATGGAGTCTCAGAGTTCGAAATATCTTAATATCTGGGCCAAGTTAAATAAACTCGTTTTTAAACAATGACAAGCCTGCTCAACTTAGCAATTCGATTTTGCAAAATATTGTAGTAAGAAGCTACAAGTAATATGAATGCTTATTATGAGGTTAGCCTGCAACGGCGAGTTTAATCTACGATCAGACCAACAGTACGCGAAAAACGTCCGTATAGCGGCTTGACCAATTAAGTGTAGACTACACTCGATCTTGTCACGCACGACAGCTCATCACCTTCGGCCGAGTCGACCTGCTCACCGAGCATACATAGAAGTCGGCTAGACCACTCTACAAGTGCATTTTCATAACAATATGCTTGTATAGTTTTATTCAATCCGGAATTGTTAGAACTTTTTCCTGTTTTATTTTATTGTCATACACCTCGGAAGTATCCATAAGGAATTTAAATTGATCTTTATATGAGTGATAGATGGTGCTTATCAATTCTTAGCTTTTAACCTTGATGCTTGTTATGGTTCACAAGACAGAGGTCACACCAAGGTCACAGCTGGTAGGACTATGACAAGTATTTGACGAAGTACACAAACAGATCTGACAGAATCTAAAATAATTTGCTTCAGCGTTTGTTCCATATTGAACTGCAGCGTTTAATAGGTATTGATTGCGTCCAATCCTTTATTTGCAAAAGAAATCGAAAGAAATTATGAAACCTATGGTTAAGACGGAAGGTTACAATTTTAGTTCGTATGATTCTTACCGGTATGAACAACACATATTATTTGCGATATTTTCAACAAACATTGCACATTTTATATCCTTAATAAAAAAATACATAATAAATACCCCAAAAATACAGACATATTCTCATCAACAATACTCTTGAATTTGGAAAGTTACGAATGAGACTAGTGGGTTTTATACAAAATATATTCTCTGCCACAAATCTTCAATTCATGTGTCTGCAGACGTTCTCTTTTCATACATTACTGCATAATTGTGTGAAAGCATAATTCAGAATGTATATCATGATTCAATAAATATTGTTTATGTACATATGTTACATATCCCTATCAGGACGTAAAATACATCTGTGTTTGATAACACATCTGGTATCAATTGTTATGGTTCACAAGACAGCGGTCATTAAATGACATTTAACACTTTTATCTTCGGATAATAGCGATCTGAAGTCCATACACAGCTTATATATAGAAAAAATACTTAAAATTAAACTGTTTTTATATGTATTCACATAGTGTTTAAAAACAAAAATTCTGTGTTCATCACTTAAACATTTTTGAAAGAGATAATCGCATTTCACTATCACCTATGTGTCGAATCCCTTATAAGCAAACTAGAAATGGAAAAAAATATATATCAAACCTCTTGTTCTGATGGACTTTTACTATTCCATTATGGGTCCTTAAGGGTTTTAAGAGCACATGATTAGCAATACAATTGAATTATCCACAAACCTTCCAATCCAACTGAACAGAACAATGCATCTCTTCTAGAACATCAAATGGGAAACGTTTGCTTCGTTTACAAAGATATATCAAAGTTTCTTTAGGAACTGTTATATAGAAGCTGTATTAAGAGCAGTATATAAACATGTATGGTACGACTTAAGGAGGAACCTAAAACGCAGGTGAGTATACGATAATAGACACGGCATACCAAAAATAAACGGCACTATATATGCATCATATAGCCAAATTTGTCTTAGCTAAGGTTGAATCACAAGTATTAGTGTGTAAAACTCCTCATTTCTATAAATGATTAAATGAAAGGAGTTATATTTAATTTCAATAATTTAAATAATAATAATTAATTTATTCGTTATTTAAATTAATAATAAAGAGTAAAGTGTGTATATTAAACAATATGATAGTCATGTTTCCCTATTGTAACATTATCATCATTGACAAGGGCTATAGGTTAGCGTTATAATTGACTCGTATGATACCTTACATTGTATTGATATTGTTAAATTATCAATATTATCTCGTGTACATAGTTAGGAAGTTAAAATGTTAGGAACAATAAATATTTAGTTAAAGACAAAAAGAGCATGTACTCACCATGTAGGTGCAGGTCGTCGTCCCGGAAATATTCCCCTGGCTAGTGATGGCAGTTGAACTAATATTAAGACACGAAAGACCCTGACATCTGTGTACCAGTAACACACAGACAAACGCTCCTCGTCCTGTTTGATTGACAAGTGACAAGTCCCCTAATATGTTTTATTAATTAACCAGCTCTGTAGATCAATTTCACCTATGGTAATTGACTTAACATAGTACACACCATTTTTAACGTTGTTATAAAACCTTTGTAATATGTTTGTGATCTTCCACCACACATTCGTTGAATATGTCAGCTCGCCTGTCGCATAGTCGTACGTCTTACGTTGCGCCTAATTAATAAACAGCAGTGGCTCTTTAATCTTACAGTCTCTCACTGAACATTGTTTCAGTCATAAATATTTAATTGTTTGACATAATTTAGTTTGCATGAGAATTCAATTTATTATATCTTATCTCAATGATTAATGATTTTTTCAAAACATTCAAATGTTGTGGTGTCAATAATACGCGGAACGTTAAATTAAAGATACCACAGATTCGTTTTCTTCAAATAATTTTATTAAACAACCTGACTAGGACAATAACTGTCACCTCACTAGTAAATATTCACATACAAAAAACCTGACAGTACTTCAAATCAAAGCGATATATTGTATGGAAAGAAAGAATGACAGCATGACAAACAGAATTACATTATTCAGATTAGTAATCATTCCTTTTCCTAGCAGAAACATACCAGCCTCCCGTGTTTGATAGTTTTTTCGTTCCTCAATATCCTATTCGGAGGGTCTCGGGTTCGAACCTCGGTCAGCCCGTGCATTTTTCCTGCTTCTGTTACCGATATGTGACACTGGTTTTGTTAAACTGTCTCATATCAGTAAAGGTAAGTTTTTTTTAAACACATATAGGAATTGAAAACTTATTTAACGAGCTTTCAAAAACGTCTGTTTTCTAGTTTCCTTTGTCAAGCAAAGGGTTTAATGGCCGGTGTCCCGACTCTTAACCGCTAAAAACAATTCACTTAGCCACATTGTGCCGAATAAGTAAAATCACCTGTCAAACTTAATAAAGACATTTCGCCAAATTGCACTCTAATATACCGATATTTTCATTCTTGCAGAGCACTTGTAAACAATATAAAAAAGGTATCATGCTCCTGACATTTATGTGGTTTTCAACGGGAAACTATTAAACATCCCCTATTTACCATAATTGCAGAGTTGCGTACTGTGATCATTAATGATCTCCTGGAGTTTCGGATGGCATGATGACCAGTGTTCCATAGGGGGCAGGAATCGTCTACTTCTCTTCCTGAGAAACATATTCCATTTAATTGTATCGCTCGGGTATATTGTTGTGTTTGTATGTTGACGCTGTGGTATTTGTTGCCTTCGTGTGCTTGCGCTCTATTATATATTGTCGTTTTCTGTTGGCTTTGTTGTCTATCTGGTTCTTGTTTGTGGTACACCAAGCATATTCCGTCTCCCGGTTTTGTTAGCATTCCTGATGTATTTCCTTGTTAATATCTTGAGAACTGGTTTGTCGCTGTGACATTTCTCGCCTTGTGGTATATCACATTTTTAACCTGCGGTATATCTTTGCTAACGCTGTGGTTCGTCATGTCATTATAAAGTACATATAAGCTGTAGGATATATTGAATCGTTCGAAAACACTGTGGTATATAGTTTGCCACGATGTGTAAAAGCTATCGTATATTTTTGACAAAAATATCCTTAACTTACTATGCATGTGTTTTTGAACACTTTAAACATGGATTTTCACTTTTCTTTCTTTTACTCAAATACCTTATGCGTTCCAAATTGATCTAATGCAAAAATGGCGAAGTGATGCGGTGATTCTTTTATTTGTTTTGCTTCTTACATCATCAAAGTAAAAAAAAAATGTTTGGAAATTGTAGTGACTTTCTTACTTTGTTTTCCTAGAAATAAGTCTTGTTGATTCATAAGAACAATCACCAGGTTATCACTAACCCCTCCATAATCAGAATAATTCTTAGCCAGCATCTTTGCTCTTGCATTTGAGCAATGATTTTTTTTAACACATCTAACAGATAAATAATAATGAATAGAATTTTGACATTTGTGCTTAGTTGTTCTTTTTCCTAGAACTAAAATCTCCTAAATAGATAGTTATTCTTACTCTTTATATTGAAATACGAACGTAACACACACAGGTGATTGTACCTTTAATATTTGGAAATATATACAAGGTGCCAAAAACACACTAGAAACACTCGCCAATTGTAGTGGAATAATACATACCGCGTTGTTTCATGATTATACAACAGTACAATGATTCCTCTAAATTTAAACAATAGCATTGTCTTATTATATTCATTTTCACAATTTAAATCCGAAGTTCAATCAGAACGTGTCACGAGCATGATGTCATGTTTATTCATGGCGGTGAATTTTCACATATTTGTGGCCTAAATGCAGGAAATATAAGGTTATTACAAATTACAAATGCAAAACTATTAATCGAAACATTTTAAAGCTATCATCTTTAAAATAAGTTATTTCTATTTTGCTGCAAGCTTTGCATTTAACAGATGTGTCAATCGCAAATTTTGAAATATAATGATAATTTGGTTCTTAAATATCTCTTTTTCCGAAAATGTATATTTTGCCCTTATGCGACTTTGTCTATATCGTTTGAATATTGCCATTAAAATAAATATTAACAAAAAGAACTGTATTTGCAATAGATATCAAGACTTTTCTTACTTTTTGTAACATAAATATAAAATTATTCTTCAAAACAAAACCTATTCTTTGTTTGCAGATTTGTGTTCTGGGCTATAAACGGCCAACATAATCTCTTGTCTAGGCATATTTTTATGTTAAATATATAAAAAATAATATTTGTCAAAGCCAATCTTTATCAAGCTGAGAGTTATTCCTTTCCGATATAGCAACAGGCATATCATTGTGTTTTTATCCAAGTCATTTACGTCAAACCTGTCTTGGGTAACATCCTCGTTTTGATATAGGAGTGGGAGGTGGGCGGGGGTTGAAATAAAACTGGAACTGTACTGACACAAACCTAATAGTACGTGACATCACACAGACGCAGCGTTACACTGTACACTGACATTAACGGTTGTGATCACATTTACATTCATTCTCGTTCTGTGGACAACCGCCAACAGTTTTAAGTATTTAGTGCATCCGTGCCTGCATTCATTCATTCATTCTTTCATTCATTTGAACCTTCACTCTTGTTAATAACTTGTTATGCACTTTTTCCTATTGTGTATCAACTTTAATTTGCAATTGTTTTAATATCAAATATATCTAGACTTCTGTTTATAATTTAAATCTTGCAGCCACTTTCATCTTTGTAAACGTGTATAAATCAATTACTTGCGCCGGTTTCCATTTCTTGCTTAAAAAATAGCATATGTGTAATCGCTTCTTAAACATATATTTGAAATCACAAACAAATAAAGCTTTCCAAATATAAAATTGTTGGTAGTTTAACCGTAATTTCAACTAAATATCGAGGTAAACTCGACAAAATATGAACAAAAATATGATGATTATTTACATGGAGACCCTTGAACAACAATGAGAACGAGACCATGTGTTTCGGAGTGGAAAGCGCCTTTGCCGTCATCGAAGACACTAGTCGTGTAAATTGAGGTCAGATTAAAACAAAATGTCACATCCTCAAATTGAGAATCCAATTTTAGTGAATACGTGCGAATGCGTTGGCCAGGGTAGGGGGAGCGAATAACATAACAATATACATATCACAAGCTTATCTATTAACGCACTAGATACTTGGCTAATTTAATATGACTTCGTTGATAGATACGAAGGTTAAAATCGGAAATAGAAATTGATAGAAAAATACCCATGGAAAGACCCCCAAAAGAAGAATAGAATTACGAAGACATATTCTATGGAAGAGTGAACTTTTTCTGTATCAAACGGAGCGCCCGTTATGTTGTTTCCTGTCACCACTTGTGGCGCCGTCATGTTCTCTCCTGTTACCACTTGTGGCGATTGACATGTAGTATCTTGTTACCACTTGTTGCTCCCGTCATATAGTCTTCTATCACTACTTTTGTTGCTCGTCATGTTGTTTCCTGTCACCACTTGTGGCGCCGTCATCTAGTCTTCCGTCACTACTTTTGTTGTTCGTCATGTAGTATCTTGTTACCACTTGTTGCTCCCATCATATAGTCTTCTGTCACTACTTTTGTTGTTTGTCATGTTGTTTCCTGTCACCACTTTGGATACCAGTCATTATACCTCCTTTTACCATCCTTCCATTGCATATCTTGTTTCATACAGGAAATGTGTGTGACCTTTTTCTCAGGCAAAATTGACATATGTTTAATCATGTAAGTTCGCGATTTGGGTTTTTTCAGTAAAGATTTTATCATCTCGTAGATGGGTCATGGTGATATGTCAACCTGAGAAAAAAAAGTGAAATCAATAAAATAAAGTGTTAAATGAAATTTTGGAAATATTTCACAGGACATCTTTATAATGTAATATATCCACTGCCAGATGTGATATACATGAACATCACTAATGTCATCACTAATCACTAATGTCATCACTAATGTCATCTAATAATGGAAACATTGCAAGTTAACATCGTGGCGTCACAAGGGCGTAACGACGGCGTTAGTCAACATACCGGGGTCACTTTATAGAATGTAACGTGTTATTGTTCCATGCATGTTAATTAATTTTTAACAATTTATTAGTACGTGTTCCGTTTTGCATATTAGAATCGTCACTGTTTAAGTATATAGACAATTAATCAGCTATTTTTCATTATTTAAAGAAAGATAAGATATAAAATCATATGTAATATATAATGTATCGGTTTAATCATAAAGAGGTATATTATTTGAACATCAGACAATTCATCAATTTGTGTTGCAAAATCAACCTGATTTAAGTATGTATTATTACTCTGCTTTTTTGCTATCCGATTATGATCCGAGAGGTCTAGACAAGTTAATTGCAATTCAGGCACAGTGATTTCGCACGATTATATGTTCCATCAAGGTTATGATTAATCATAATAATGTTAATAGTTAATAAACACTTTTATTTATTCTTGTTACATGA